TTCTCCCCTTTTCTACTTCCATTCTATTTTGTTTTGCAACTTTTCTTTCTTCTGGCTCTAGATGGATGTGATAAAATAGGAATAATTTAATGCTTTTTGATTGATTTTCAATTATGTTCTAATTGATGATTTTAAATTGTCAATTGTTATTAACTGATAATTTAGGAATTTAATATATTGATTGATAATTTGAGGTCTTTAATTATTATTGATGATTTGGTGTCTTCATTTATTTTTTATTTAGTGATTTTGAATTATTAGTTGTTATTTAAATGACGATTTTGAGTTGTTATTTTAATTGTTATTTGTTAATAATTTGAAATCTTCACTTATATTATAATAATTTGAAGTGATCAATTGTTATAACTGATTTGATTGATAATTTGGAATCTTCAATTATTATATGTATAATTTGATCTTACTTATCTTCTTATTAACGATTTAGAATCATCAATTGCCATTTGATTAATGATTTTGAATTGATTTTATTTGAATCTTAGAGTTTTCAATTGTTATATGTATAACTGATAATTTAATATATTTGGATATTTTCTAATTAATGATTTAAGATTTTAAGTTGCTATTAAACTATATATAATAATTGAAATTCTAATATTTTTTATAATTTAGGATTATCAGTCATATTCTGATTCATAATTTGTCAATTATCAATTTAGAATTTTCATGATGGATGATTTAAAGTCTTCAATTATATTTTGACTGATAATTTTTGATTATCAGTAACTATTTCATTGATGATTTGGAATCTTCAATTATGTTCTAATTGATGACTTAAATTATTAATTATTATGATTTTGAGTTTTCTTTTGGTATTTGATTTATGATCTGGAATTATCAATTACATTGAACGAGAATTTGAATTAAAATAAGTTAGTTTCTGAATGACAGAATCTACTTATATAATAAAAGAGTATGAAAGAGTATTGTTTTAGTGTATTGAGGTTTCTTTGGCTTGTGGTGGTTGGATTAATTTTATTGATTCTATTGATTAGTGATTGGATTAACATTAGATTAGTTATATTTTCTTGAAAATCTTGAATTCTTTTGTTGGCATCTATTTTGATATTTGATTAAAGAAATATTTAAAAACTTTTGAAGTATTTTGAAATTTTATTTTTATATTTTTTCCATTGAACGACTGTTTTCAATTTAAGATTAAAAAATTTTAAAGACAAAATTGATACTTTGAAACTTGATTTTTACTACCTAAGTTTAAAAAAAAAAATAAAATAGATAAGTTAATGAATTATGAATTCTTATTTAAAAGAAATGAATGAATTTTTATTTAAAAGACTTATGTGTCATTAATTAGTTTATTACTATTAATGATACATTGAAATTTACTTTTTTTAATTCAAAATAATTTATATTGATAATTATATGTATTATTTGCATTATTTTATTACGAAAAACATATTGAATTAATTATTTTATTTTGATATTACTTTTTTTGTATTATTTTTTTGTATTGAAAAATAATTTTCCTATGTAAATAAATGAATAAAATACATAATAGGAAACAATTTATTTCATCGAGAATTCAGAACAACTGTTATTAAATAATATTATTAACTGTTATTAAACAACAATCATAATTTTTTATATTATTTGTGTAATGATTAATTTCTGTGTAACTAAGGAATATAATGCAATAAACAGATATTCTTAATAGCTTAGAATTATATTTTTCCCTATAATATATGAATATAGTTATTCGTAAATAAAATCATTTTCGATAATATTAATATTTCCTAAAATACATAAAAATGCAATTAATAATTTAAATTCAGAAATGAAAATTTATTATTTTTGTTATCTTACTCTGTCTAAAAAAAAGACAGTACAAATTATATTTTTTTTTTTTGGAATTTTATTTATTTACTTGTTTAATTATTTAATTTACCATATCACTTATTTAATATTGTTAACATTTCTGTCAATGGTTTCATCCAATAAATCACTAATTATGTCAAGGATAATTAAGCTTTAACTTAGCTGCTCAACTTCAAGTAGGATTTAATTTTAATAGGATTCGTTATCTAATTTTTTTTAGTTTTATAAATATCTTAATTAATTCAATTAAATAACATCTAGATAATAACTGTATTATTAAACGAATTATCTATCAGTTACACAATATAATATAATATATGTTTAAATTTAATTAATAAATAATAATATTCTTTTAATTGATTTAAGCATTTAATTTTCCAGAATGAATACATAATTTCTAATTGCATTTTATAATTCAAACCAAATTTTCTAAAATAATAACACTATTAAATTTAAAAATTTCACTTTTCCTTTATATTAATAAAATTATTTTTCAACTTTATTTTAAAATTTTAAAATAAATCAATGAATAAAACTTACTTAATTTATTCAATTGTTATATTACTATATTATTGTTATATATTATTGTTATATATTATTATATTATATACAGTTATAACAATCTTTTCAAGTCTATCAATTCAAGTCCATCTTCATTTCAACTATTTTAAATTATCTATTCATTTGATTAATTAAATTACTAATAAATTTTATTTTTAATATTAAAATATTTAAGAAATTACAGAATTTAATTATTCAACTTTAACCTGTTCTTTATCACTTATTTAAAACTTGCTCACTTCAAATTATCTCATTTAATTCACCTTTATAAATTCACCCTTTATTTGCATTTTCATTATATTTTATTTAATTCAATTCTAACTTAAAATTTCACAATTCTTTCCCGCCATCTACTTATATTTTCTTAATTTAACTCAATTATTCAATTCCAATTTTTCGTGCATTATCATTTTAAATCCTCTATTTGCATTTTCATTCAATACAATTTTAATATCCATCACCTTTTCAAATTATTATATTATATTATAATTATTTAAAATTATTATATTATATTATATTATTTAAAATTATTTATATTATATTTCTATTATGTTTTATTAAATGAATTTAATTAATTCATCATCATTATAACCCATCCATCTGCATTTACTAAACTTATTGAATTCTAATTTAACATCCACCATCCTTATTAAACTGAATCCAAACATGCTAAATTTCAAACATCATTATTATTCCACTACTTCAACTCAACATTGAATCCCTTCCGAATTCGTCGAATGAACCTGGTATCGTTATCTGGTGCATGCGCAGATTCCGAGCAGAAGTCACCTCGACCGGAAGCGCGGTGCAGCTCGACGCTTCCGTATGCAATTTCAAAATGGTCGGAACAAAAGGCGAGACCAACCTCGAACGAGCCTACTAAGAAACCCAAATTGAACACGAAATCCGAATCAGAGTCAAGTATATCTAAATCCTCGGTCCATGAAGTTAGGCGGAAGTTATCGTTATTGGAAGAGAAACGCGCAATTTTTCAACGCCGTTTGTTCGAGACTACTCAGAACACGGATTCCGGCGAGACGGTGATCGCTATTACTATCGACGACGAAAACAAAACGTCGGAAGAGGAGAAAAACCGTGTAGAACAGAATAAGACGAAGAAGAAAGCCAGGCATATTAGCGTGAAAAAGTTCGACACCTTTTCCACGTTTGAGGGGACATTCGACGAGGAAACAGGGATTGGTTATCTGGCTGGTATTGAGGAGGATTACACGGAGAGTTACGAGAGGCAGCGCGATAATTACGTGGCCAGCATGGGGCCTATGATGGCCGACAGCACGATGGAGAAGAGCAAGGTCAACCAGGAGAGCATGGTGAGGAACCAATTGCTCACCCTAACTTTTCTTTTTTTTGGCTCTCCTCTGTTGGAATACATTTTTAATAGGAATGTGAAAATTCGAAATGTCAAAAAAAAGTATTTTGAAATTTAAAAAAGAACGTTTTTTGCGAAACCTCAAAATTTTTTGATACTTTTGAAATTTGAGATGAAGAAATTTAGATGAAAAATATAATTTGTACAATTTGTCGTAATTTGTTATTAGTGGGAGTAATTTTTGAGATGAATAAATTTATTTTTTATTTAAAACTGATAATAATTCAATTGAATTTAAGATTATTGGTTCATTTTTATCTTTGTGGATAAAAATAAAAATTGTTACTATTTCCTCTCTATGAATTTGAGTTTTGAAAAATTTTAAAAATCAGAATTTATTAAAATTTTAGATTTTGATAAAATAGTAATATTCATATTTTTTTTTTAAAGAAAAAATAGAAAAAAAAAATTAAGTGTTTTGAGTTTCGAAAGTTTCGAATTCACGAATTTTTACGAAATTAAAAATCAAATTTCAACTTATCTCTATTACTATTTAACTATTAATTGATTATTTATTATATAGTTTTATTATTTATTTATTTATTATTTTTTTTTGATAGGGTATTATTTTAATAGAAAAGACTGCTCTTATTTTCTTCTCTTTATATTTGAATGATTTATTGCATTGAATGTTTTTGGGTATTTTTGGCTTTTTTTTTAATTTATTTTCTTATTTCTTTGACATTTTTTTTTAAGCTTTTTTCTGGTCTATTTTGAATTGTTTTATTCTATTTTTGTTTTTTGATAATTTTATTTTTTTAAAAATTATAATATATATAATTTTATATTTTTAAAAATTTAATTTAAAAATTTTATTTATTTCATAAAAATTTATATTTTATTTT